AGCCCACAATGGCCATGGTGGGGGGCCGTACAGCATCCATGTCCACCAGCAGCATTGCCAAGCCTCTGCAGGGACACTGCCTCACACTCACACGGGGAGCTGTGGCACTCCACAAATCTATTACCCTGGCCACAGGGGCACGTCGGGGTGAGGGAATGCACCTGCATGCCTGCCCAATGCCCCTTCAGCACTCTGCCTGTGGGGTCTCAGTTCCGGACTGGTACCAGCACCCATGTGCTATTGGGTCCCAGACTTCTTAGTCCAACAGATTTCAGTATCCATGCCACAGGAACCCCAACACCCATGCCATGGAGTCCTAGCCTCACAACCATGTCCCAGCACCCATGCCACAGGGTCCCAGCTTCACAGCTAGACTCCAGGACCCATGCCATGGGCTTCCAATCCCACAATCAGACCCAAGCATCCATGCTCTAAGGACTCCAGCCCTTCAGCTGGATTCCAACAGTCCATACCATGGGGATCCCATCCCCACGGCTGGACCATAGTGCTAGCCATACCATAGTGACTAGGACTCAGGTCCCCACACCTTGCTTATCACCAGCACCATGGCCAAACCTCAGCACCTACACTGAAAAGTCCACTGTGTTGTAGCCAGCTCCCAGCAGTCATGTCCCAGGAACCCAGCCCCATAACCAAACCCCAGCACCAATGCCACGGAGACCCCAGCACCAACGACATGAAGACCTCAGCCCCACAGCCAGATCCCAGCACCAATGCCATGCAGTCCCAGAGATCAATACCATGGAGAACCATCCCCATGGCTGGACTCCAGCACCAATGCCATTGAGACCCCAGTATTAATGCCACAGAGACACCAAGCACCAATGCCATGGAGACCCCAATACCAATGCCACAGAGACACCAAAAACCAATGCCACGGAGACCCCAACACCAATGCTCTGGAGACACCAAGCAACAATGCCACAGAGACCCCCAGTCCTGTGGCTGGAGATCCCAGCCCCGAAGCAGGACGGTAACATCAATGCAGTGGCGACCCCAGCGCCCATTCTTGGGGGACACAGCCTCACAGCCGGACCCGAACACCAATACCATGGGACCCCAGCCCCACAGCCAGACCCTGACACCACTGGGAACCCCCACCCCTTAAGTGGCCTCCAGCTCCCCACCCAGCCCCGATGTCGCGGGGACCCCAGCTCCAGGGGCAGCCCCCGCGCCGCGCCCCGCGCCCGCGCCACTCACCAGGGCATGCACAGCCCACTGACATCTTCACATGCCTGGCCCGGCCGGGGGTCGCTGCGCGCTGCCCGGGCCGCGGGGGTCTCGCATGGGCGGCGCGCCGCGGGCTCCGGCGCGGCGAGCGGCGGGTAGCGCCGCGGCCAGAGGCGGGCGGGCGGGCGCGCCGCGAACCGGCGGAGCAGCGGCGGCAGCGGCAGCAGGAGCAGCGGCGGCGGGGGCGATCGGGGCGGGGGCCGCGGCGGTGGAGCGGGGGCGGGGGCGGCTGCGCCGGCGGCGGGCGGGTGGGGGCGCCTCTGCGCGTGCGCGGGGCGTCCCGTTTCCCCCCTCCCGCCGCGAGCGCGTGCGTGTTGCGTGCGTGCGTGCGCGCCCCCCCCCTCGGCTCGTCGCTGCCGCCACTGCCGCGCGCGCACGCACGCGCCCCCCCCCCCGCCCCCCCTCCAGTCACCGTGAGGGGCGGGGGGGATTCCGATGTGTGAGGGGGGGTCGGCGAGGGAGGACGTGAAGCGAAGGACGAGGGGTCCCCCCTCCGCACCCAGGAGGCTCTAGGCGCTGCCCCCTGGGGTTTGCGGCCGTCGGAGCACGGGTAGCGCTCTCCCCAGACCGTGTGGGGGGGGTGAGGGTTCTCAGGGCTGCGGGGGCTCCCGGGGGCGGTGCAGGGCTGAGGCTTCCATCCCACCTCCCCGGCCGGGGATGCTCCTCTCAGAGCCCGGCAGAGACCCGACTGGAGGGAAGAGTGCCCAGGGACCCACGTCCGGGGCGCCGATGAACGCCACGGGTGTCTCAGGGCGGCTTGTTTGGGTTTTCACCTGGGAGGACGTGGGGACGAGCAGAGGACGCCACGGCTATTCCGCATGGAGCAGCCTGCTTAAGGCTTGTGCATTTTGGGAACTTGCCAGTCTCCCAGCCCTAGGGCACGAGGAGGACACGGCACTGTAATGGTTGTAGGTGGGAGGGAAGGGGCCAGAGAGGGCCGGGGGGCAGGAAGGAAGGAGGTTCGCAGCAGCGCTTTGCACAATCAGGGACATCGTGATCGGCGTTTGCTGTGCCTTGTGCGGGGATGGCAGAGGTTGCTAGACAGGAGGCTAGGAGCTGCTCTGGTCTGTGCTGCACCCTGTGAGGGAAGGGTATGACAGCATCCCGGTTGAGGCTGGGGGCCAGAGAGATGCCAGGGCAGAAGGAGCAGGGTGCCGTACGGACAGAGTCTCCCTGGGGGGACACCCGCCCAAGAGGATCTCACCAGGGATCCTGCCCCAGCCCCACGCAGTGTGCTCCTGCACACTGGCTGTGGGGCCAGAGCCCAGTCTGCAAAGGCAAGCGCTGTCCCTCTACTGTCCTGCCAAGATGCAGCCCCAGCCCCAGGATGGGAACAGCGTCCTGGGCTGAGCAAAGTGCCCCGGGGAGCCAAAGCCCTCTCTTCTCTCTGAAGGGCCAATTCCAGTCCATCTGCTCCTGTCTGGGTGGGACTCACATTCCTTTTTACTGAGTGGAGTGTCCTTTAAGCATCACGCGGGTTTTTGAGCTCTCCTTTGCAGACTGTGCCTATTAGCCCTGAGCAAGCTGCCCACCCTGGGTGCTGCACAGGCTGAAACCGGACGGCCCTGAGCAGCATCTGGCTGTGCTTGGCCAGGGAGTGGTCACAATACAGAGGGAAGGGAGGGGAACCAGGGATGTAGAATGCGCATTTTCCTTTCTGGCTGTTGTTTGTTTTTCTTGTAAACCAGCAGGAATGCCTGGTGTTGCCCCGTGCCAGGAGTGCATCCCTGCTGGGGATTGTACTGGGGGAGGGAGGTACCTGCAGGTGGGATTCCCTATGGTCACACTCCAGTGACCCTATGTGCAAGGAATATGGTCCCACTTTACAGTATGCATACCAGAGGAGTGCTCTGTGAGAAATCAGTCTTGTTGTGCTGCAGGGTCCTGCCACACACAGGGACAGGGGGATTAGGCAGGTCACTGCATGCCCTGGATGTGCCCCAGGGAGAGAACATGACAGGAAAGGAGGGCACGGAGCAGGAGAAGGAAAGCTCCAAGGGGAACATTGCTCCACATCCCTGTCAGCAGGTCTCTGGGTGCCAGGTTATGGACACTTCTCCTCAGGCCAGTGGAGAGATACATGGACGTTTCAAAAGTGACTTGTTCCTTGCTTTATATGTATTGAGCTCAGGGAAAGCAAAGTGCCCTTTGGAGGGGCAACCACACCTGAGCTGCAGAGATCCTGGAGCACTTGCACAGCCTCCCCACCTCCCTCTGCAGTGCCAGAGGCAGGTGCTGGTCTGAGGAGCCTGCTATATCCAGCAAAATCCCCCACACCCCAGCAGTGTGCTCACATTCGCCCATTGCAACACGTGTGCTCTGCAGCATTCAGACATGGATCCATGGCCCACGAGAAGGACACAGCTGCCTGACAGCATTTTGGCCACATGCAAGTGTTGGTGAGATGTGCTGTGGGTTCCTTGGATGAGGAGGTGGAAGGGTGCAGCTCCCTTGCAGAGAGCTAGGGAGGAGCAGCCACCGTGAGGCAGGAGGTGACATGGGAGAAGTGATCACATTTGAAAGTCCCTTGTGGCAGGGGTGGAAGGAAGGAGAGCAGGATGCGGCTCCATGTGTCAGACATAGCTCAGCCCAATGACCAGGCACACAAGGTCGAGAAAAGCAGCTCTATCCTGTGGATTCCCAAGGGAATCTGGCCTGGGCAGGTCTGTGCTCCAGGGACTGATGCAGAGGCTGGGACAATTAGTCCCTGCCAGGCAAATCGTGTAGTGCAGAGCTCCAGTGACATGTCTACACTGCACCTGTGCTACTGTAAGCACATCCCTGAACTCCATGAGATGATCCTACTGTCTGGAAGCCAGAAAAGTCACAGGAAGTGACAGCACCCGAAGGGACTCCGGGCTTCCTGAACAGAGGGTACCTAACAGGCCAGGCCACGTGCCTGTGCACACTGGCATCCCTTGCCTTCCTGGGGAGCCAGGCTTGGACAGCAACTGTGTCCAGTGAGTCAAGTTTGGCTCCCTCACATTTTCCAGGTGATTTTCTGTGTGCCAGCTTTGGAGAGCAACACAAGCTTAGGCACAAGCAGTGACTTGGGTACCCTGCCCCGATGCCGTGACAGAAGGCTTAACGGCAGCTCACAGTGCCCATCCCTCCTTTCACACCCAATAGCTTTTTTCATCCTCCCTGTGCCCATCACATGTGCGTGTGTGCCCAACACCTCCACACAAGGTTGGGCTCAACGGAGCACCATGGCAGCGCTGCACAGGCACCTCAGGCACAAGGAACGCTCCCAGCCAGGGGACGCCGAGCCACCTCCTCCACAGCAGTTCTGCCCCTGCTTTCCGGGAAGCGCGGGTACACGCGGCCCGGCTCCGCTCACGTGTACGCCAGAGTCCGCGGGGCGGGCCCGTGGCGCCGCGGGAAAATGCGCGCCTGCCCCGCCCCCAGGGGGCGCTTCCCGCCAGTCCCGCCGCACCGCGGGGCTGGGCCGACCCTCCTCGTCCCCGCCCGCCGCAAGGATGGCGGCGAAGCCCGAGGGCCTGCCCGCCCTCAAGATGGCCGCCCGCGCTCCCGTGGTCGGGCGCCCCCTCAGGCCGGTGCCCGCCTCTCGGCGCGGGGCCGGCGGCGAAAGGGTGCGCTCCCGGCGTGCCGCGCGCGGGTGGTGCGGCGCGGGGGCCGCCGGGAGCTGTAGTGCTGGGCGGGCGGCGGTCACGTGGCGCTCTCGGCAGTGGCCGCGCTGGGAGCAGAGGCGCCAAGATGGCGGCGCGGCGGGGCGGAGCGGTGTCCGCCGCCAACGGGGCCGGGGCTGGTGGTGCTGCTGCCGCTGCCGCTCCGCGGAGCCTGGCGAACGGCGGAGCCTTGCGCGAGCCGCCTTTCCGGGCCGGCAGCCCCCTGCAGGTAAGGGGCGGCGGGGCTTGGCGGGCCGCGCCGTGACACGTGGAGGCCGGGGCGGCTCCCGTGGCGGCAGCACCACGTGTAGCTGGGAGCGGGCCCGCCGCACCGGCGGCGGGCGCGGGGCGCAGCTCGGGCCGGCGGCGCCCTTGCTGGTCCTGGAG